CTAACATGAACTGTGAATTTACAAACAACAAAACAAAACTACACCACGTGGTCCGCGTTGGACGAAAGTCCGCACTTTTTCCGATCAAAAGGCCGCACGAATTGGGGAAACTGGCACCGTCGGCGTTACGATTGATTGTCGTTAAACAAAGGCTTCCTCGCTTTTATTAACTACCAAACCAGCTAATTCAACCTAGCTACTTACCATGTGGTTACATTCACAAAAACATACCCAGACTGACGCTTCGCCATGCTGCCCTCTGTCTACCAACCAACCCTGCAACTAAAATCAGAGAACATACTAAAATCCCCTAGCCCTACCAACTATCAGGAAAACAACTAAACGTGCACAAGACCTAAGTTAAACGCTTTTTTTTTTTGGTTGAAAGTTTTTTTTTCAAATTCAAATTATTCAAATGTGATTTCACGCCGCTGTTAATTAATTTCAGCGCAAAAATTCGTTAACCACATCGTCTATGTCATATATCTAGTACTACTATATTGCTAACTCTTCAGAAGTAACATAGAAACGGTGTTCACGGACAGAGAGAGACAGAAGATGTTGTTTTCTGTCTATAAGAGTACCGCGGGTCTGTGCGCATGTACCCAAATAGAAGCGAAAGTACGAAATGTCAAAAGGCATCCAATCACGCTATCGACTACAAATCAAGCCAGTACGAGTGTATGCGCAGTACTGTTTAGTACCACAGAGAGACAGAGAGGTCCGATATATTGCTCTGCCGTTATGTTTTCGGACTCTTTTGAGGGCAGTTAGTGTTAATTTATGTGCGTATTTAAAGTGCGAAAAATAAAAGGCCAACGATGTTAACACTAGCGAAGGTATTTATTAACTGACTTAGATATGTACAATATGAGAAAACTAACTTAGTAAAAATGGTCTCGACATCTGGACGTCGATTTGCCGTGAAACGCCGACAAAGACAAAAGGGTCCAGACTTTCAACCACACAAGTGTCGCACCGGTACTGGGCCAGAGCGTATCTAATTCTGACATATTGCAACACTCCCACTCGCTCTGGTCAGATGAACTAAATAAACAAACACAAGAAAAATTAGAACACACAAATAAAATAATACTTAAGAGAATAAGTCTTAAACTGAATGTAAATTCAACAATTTTAAATTATTGGCAAATTTATCACGGCTTAGCGGTTTCGTAAACATATCCGCCAGTTGTTCCGTTGTCCCAACGTGGTTGATATCAATCTCTCCCCGTTGATAGGCGTCACGTGTGTAGTGGAACTTGACGTCGATGTGTTTGGTGCGTCGATGGTGAACAGGGTTGGTTTTAATCTTGAATATCCATTTATTTTGGATTGGTCGTCTGTTCGCTGGAAGCTCCACCAATTCCCAAACTTCATTTTTGGCTAAAGACTCCAATTCATCAGCCATTGCAAGCTCCCACTGTTTCGAATCATTCGTGGCTAACGCTTCTGCGAGAGTTTCAGGTGTTTTAGTCACTATTTTCTCACCTTCAGTCAGGAGGGCTGCAAATTGAACTTCGGTCATTTCATCTTTTTCTTCTATCCTTTTCTTCGTCTTAGATCGGGTGTTGTTTACGATGGAGTTTTCATCTGAAGGTACCACGCGTTTCGAGTACGCCGCTCGTGCTGGTGTTGATTGTTCTTCATTTGTAGCAATTTCAGGTAACAATTGAAGCGGTCTTTTTGGTGGTAATTCGACAATTTTTACGTCACGACTCTTAATAATTACTTTTGTACCTGGCCGCCAAAGTCGATATGCGTGTTGCTCAAATTCATATCCAACTAAGATGAGCCGTTCGCTCTTCTTTTCAAATTTGCTCCGTTTCGTCTCGTCAATTAATGCATATGCAGTACTACCAATTTTACGCAAATGACTCAAGTCAGGCTTTCGACCGGTCCAGAGTTCGTAGGGGGTTTTCCCTTCGAGACGGGCACGTGGTATTCTATTTCTAATGTGAGCCCCGTTTCTAATCATTTCCGCCCATAGTCCTTGGGCCAGGTTTCCGCTTGCAAGTTGACACCGCACCATTTCGTTTAATGTCCTGTTAGATCGTTCGGCCCGCCCATTCTGTTGTGGACAGTACGGTGTGGTCAGTTCTTGTTTAATAAATTTCTTGGTTAACACCGCCTTCATTTCACTGCCCAAAAATTCACCCCCATTGTCCGATCGCACGCGTTTTATTTTATGTCCATTCGCTTCTGCATCAGCTATTACACTAATCATCGCGTCGACGACGTCGGACTTTGTTTTCATAGAAACTGCGATGATCGTACCACTGCAATCATCTGTAAATACAGCTGCGAACCGCGAACCACCTAACGATTCATTCAATGGTCCGATCGTGTCAAAATGCATTAGATCTCCTGGCCGTTCAGCCCGCGAATTTGAGGACGGGAACGGTTGTCGCACGTGCTTGCCGTATACACAGTCTTCGCAAAATGTGTCTTCATTGTCCGTACTATCTTTCGAGTCCACAACTTTCATACCAGTTATCGCGTCACTTTTGGCCATTTCGCGAACCACTTTAAATGCAACATGTCCAAGCCGTTCATGCCACACTCGAACGTTTTGAGCACTTGCACTTGCGATCATAGCCTCTGCCGTTGCCCGCGCGCGAATATTCATTTCGAATAAACCGTTTTTAGCCAATTGTCCGGTGGCTACCACTTTGCCACGACTAAACAATTGTAACGTGTGTTTGCTGAATAATGCGTTAACACCATGATTACTAGCTGCACTTATTGAGAATAGATTTTTCCCAATTTCAGGCACGTACCACACTTCACTCATGCCTTGCTCCAGTACTTGTCCATTAACGTACGAAGTAATCATTACATCTCCTTCACCTTCCGCGTAAATAGTTTCATTGTTGCCCACTGTGATCGGTTTTCTCTCACTTGCACTAAACTCCCTATAATTTGTAATAATGTCGCGCCGAAAAGTCATGTGTTTACTCGCACCAGAATCCGCGACCCATAATTCGCCCACGTTACCGACAGCCATCGTTTCGGCTGTATACATTATCGCACTCGATGCGCCGCTGTTTGATGCTGCATTCGCTTGGCCATTGTTTTGAGTGTTTTGGGGTTTGTAGCAGTCGATCTTTCTATGTCCCGTTTTACCGCAATTATAACACTTCCCACTAAATCGCTGTTTTGTAAATTGCTGTCGTTGCTGATTTTGATAACGACCACCTCTATTTCTTTGATAATGTTGGCGTTGTCCCCGATTGCCGTTGCTTGTGTAAAGGGCTGAGTTCTCTTCTTCGTCGTTTTTAATCTCGACCATTCCATTTCTCATTGTTTCCAGCTTTAATAACCGAGGAAGAAGGTTGACCATGGTTTGCTCTTTTTCTGGAAGCATATCAAAAGCCGCTGCTATATGCTGATACTGTTGTGGTAATGTGTACAGTACTTTGGTGATTATTTGTTCATCGGTGGGTTTCTGATTCAGATCTTCCAGCTGTCTCACCAGCTCTTCGATAGCAGCAACATCTTCAGTAATTGTTGCGCCTGGTCGCATTTGATAATTATAAAATTTTTGGTGTAAAATATGAATCGACGTCTTGTTCTTTTGTTCGTAAATAGTCACCAGTCGCGTCCACATTTCAGCTGCAGTCTTCATATTCATTATATGACGCACAACATTCGTCTCTAGAGCGCACGATAACGCAAATTGAGCTTTCTCGTCTTTTCTGTCCCATTCTTCTTGTTCCTTGGACGTACCTCCCGAATCAGGGCGAGCTTTCATACCTTCGACAACGTCTAACAATTCGTGATACCGCAGATAGGCGCGCATTTGAAACTTCCATACAGCAAAATCGTTGCCGTTAAACTTAGCTATCGCGAACTTATCCATTTTCGATGTGTCTGCTACTATTGGCCGCGAAACCGAACTTGAACACTGACCAACTACAAATCACAACTTCGAATAGGAACTAATCGCTGATATTCCACTAATTGCACTTTTTCAAAATACTAACTGCGATACGTAATCTGGGCCCATAACCTGTTAATTTATGTGCGTATTTAAAGTGCGAAAAATAAAAGGCCAACGATGTTAACACTAGCGAAGGTATTTATTAACTGACTTAGATATGTACAATATGAGAAAACTAACTTAGTAAAAATGGTCTCGACATCTGGACGTCGATTTGCCGTGAAACGCCGACAAAGACAAAAGGGTCCAGACTTTCAACCACACAAGTGTCGCACCGGTACTGGGCCAGAGCGTATCTAATTCTGACATATTGCAACAGTTAGCAATATAGTACTATTAGATATATGGTCTATGTTAATCAAATGTTTTTGTTTCTGGGGTTAAATTTAATTTGAACCGGGACACTGCCACCTGTTGATTTTGCTTAAAATTTAGCAGTTTGTAACAGAACGGCTTCTGGTCTGTCTGAATATGAACATTGCTAAATTTTCGAACAACAAGTGGTATTTCAAAAGAATAGAACAAATTACCCAAGTTTTAACTGAAGAAAAAAAGTTAAATATCTTATGCTATTCTTGTTCCACAAAATCATCTGTATTTTGGGAGTAACATTGATTAGATACGTCTAATGCATTGATCTGTGTTTTTAAAACTGAACATAGGGATTAATCCCATACTTGCTTTCATATGTGCAAAGGTAAAAAACATGTCTCGGTATACTATATAATAAAGTATTTTAGTCATGGACATGGTCAACTAGACCAAAAATTTTATAAATCACCTGGTATTTCACAGCGCCCTCTATCAAGTAGTAGATTTAAAAGCAGCTTTGTTGATGTATTAGTGCGTCATCTGAGTAGGTAGTCGGAAAATAGGAGTGGGGCCAACATGCCAAATGTTGTCGCGCCATCTGTTATTTTCTTTGACCGTTGGTTGTGTGGCATCAACGTAATGCAATTTTTAATCAATGAGACCAATAGTACCAACTGCACAACAAAACGTCACAACCTAATGCAGTTCGAGTAATTTTCGAGATTTCTGGATCAAAACACAATACCATTGTATTATCTATTTTATTGGGTGAAAATTAATAATAGTACGCTCTTGTCAAGTACATCATAAAAAATTATACACCAATCAACTGTACATATTTTACAATTCGTCCATTTTATCTCACGATAAACGAAAAAGCAACATAACACAAAATAAATTCTTACTTTACTAAAGGCATCAATATAGCACATCTTACACTGGTCAGGGATTTTACCAATCACGATATGCAAATCAAAAGGAAAAAATAGAAACCAGTAAACTTGGCTAAACGAATCTCCATTGAAACTTAACAGTTTACACCAACAGCGTCTGCGTGGGCTTCTTCCCGGGCCACGCCTCCTTCGCGTACTTCTTCTTCTTGGGTTCCATCGAATCAGAAATTTGTACCTGAGGAGGTACAAAGGGCGTCGGAGGGGCGAAGTTCTGTCCCATGTCCACGTCGGGCGCCGGATTGGGCAACACCATACCCAACCGCGAGCTCAAAGAACTGTAAATACTTAAGTTACCTGAACTGCTCGCAGCATGCGATTCAGGAGGAAGATCGTTATACAAATCAGGAGTGGTCGGATGCATCGGCTTCGGAGGCTTAAATTCTGTCGAAATTCCTATGTTATCGGCGGCAAATTTAGCCCTCTTCACGCTCGAAGGTACCACTGTGGTTTGTACCAAGTTTCGGAACCTGCCAATGCTTGGATCAACATCTTCCGGGTTGATGATTTCCTCGTCCTCGTTGAACGACACGTACTGTCGCTTCCGCTTGCGATTCGTGTTTCGCTTCTCCGTGTCATCGGTTATTCCCAGCATGGAAATCCGCCTGTTGTGGGCTGTGTTGAACTCCGTCAAGTTCTAAAAAGAATTAAGTTTTTGTTGTTTGTGGTGGGAATTCGGTTTCAGATAATTGGTATTATGTTTACATCAAGCTCTGTCTCCGTTTCAGGCAAGCCCAGAAGTCCGCCCTCCGTCTCCTCCCCGGCTTTCTCAATCTCATCAATGATGGGTCTCATTCCGGTCTGGGGCCGTTCCCTGATCGTGTAATTTCGCGTAGATGCTCCAAAGTGAAAACTAGAATCAATAGGCAACTGAGTGGGTTTATACGCCTCAAGTCTTAATGATCCTATGAAGGTGCCATGGGCTAAAACGGGTCTGTGTTACCACTTTTCCACAACGGGTTCAGAAGTCGCTAGCGTACTGTGCTTGTTTCACCGAGTCTAGCGGATACTTACTGCTGCCTAAATCGACTAAAAACGCCCTGTTTAAGTGTTTGTGCCAAACGAGGGCTGCATGCACTCGAGAACAGGAGGCATGGTCGATGCAGAAGTCGTTCATTTGAGCATTGCGACCGAATAAATAACACTTCTTGTCGTCGATCATGAGCTTTTGGATGAGCTTTTCGCCCTTTAGGACGTCCAAGTGCAAGCCTACGGGGGGTTTGCCTGCCCTGAAAACAATAACATAACCTCAAACAACTTTGAAAATTTTCGGAAGTTTTGGGTGGTGGGAAGTTTCGTGTGGCGAGGAAAAGCAACTCTAATGATGCATTTGCGGTCAAAAATGTACTTTAAACGTATATATTTACCAATTTGGGACTTCATAGTGGTTTGCCATTTGTCACTTTTGACATACAGAACAGATATTTTTATTATTTTTGACGTTTGACACTTGACAGCACACAAATTCACTAATTCACTTTTATAAATTACTAACTGACCTCGTGCACTTCGTTTCACCTACAATTTAATTTTGAATCTGCAAAACCGAGTGCTTTGAAATCTTGCAGATGGTTTACAGTTATAATAAGCTTGATAAGTTTTTATTCAAAATATATTTACTTATCCGCTCCAAAAAATTGATGACGTCAGCCCAAAATTTTGCCAAATGAATCCTATCTAAAATGTCCAAAATAGGATGAGACTATACTTGTGATTTATCATTCCATTCATATTTTTTAGTTTTGCTTATAGGGAGTGTCTCAAAAAAATTAATCACTGAGTCAATTTATATTACTTTTCTTTAGAACTTTTAGAGGGGAACAATTTCGCCATACATGATTTTTACGTAACTTTAACCGTTTAAGCAGCGTAAGCAACGGAAGCTGTCAAAGGAGGAATAATTTTCCCGTTTTTCTGAATTTTTCATTGCTACTTCGCTCCTATTGATCGTAGCGTGATGTTATATAGCCCATGGTAGAAGGAGACATGGTATAGGCATACGCATCGGGTGTGACGTCAAGTGGGGTGAAATTAGCGCGAAATTTAAAATACAATTCGTTATCCGCCAACTAATTGACGTATTGGACAGAGCAATGACAACTCAAGCTGAAATTCCCTAGACTTCCCTAGCGAAGCTCACAAGAGTCACAAGGTCGTTGATGCCACCTAACGTCACAAATGGATGCGCAGACCATTTTTAAATTGGTACATCGGATGCCTATACCATGTCTCCTTCTACCATGATATAGCCTATATGTAGATACGATAAATGGACTATCCAACACAAAAAGGTTTTTTGAATTCGAACCAGTAGTTTCTGAGATTAGCGTGTTCAATTAAACAAATACTACAGCTTTATTATATAAGTATAGATTATTTGTATCGTAATAGTTATTTGTAATTTAGAGCAAACAAACTGTAAAACTTTTTTTTATTCCATTTCGTCTCAAAGAACAAATTTTGGTACGAAATTGAACACAAAAGCATAGACTCAATTTCAAATCCATTGAATATTTCGTAACACCTCCCATCCCATACCTGCGTAGGATTTTCCATTTTCTAGTTGTGTTTTCTAGGTAGTACATCACTGGTACAACTAACGATTACGACATTAAGGCGGCCACACACAGAGAGGGGAGGCTGTGCAATCAAAAGTGTGCACGCCTGTCTTAAGTTATTAAACCTGTACTCTCTAAACGGCGCAACTGAATTTAAACTCAAGCGTGCAGCGACTTGTCTCCACGCACTGAGTTTTCCCCGCGCAGTTATAACTGTGCACGCTAAAAATCAAGCCAATTTTGATTCCAACAGACTTGACTGCACATGCTACATTCTTCCCCACACACTAGTAGTTTTAACTATACCCCATTCAAGTCTTGACTCTTCCCTCTCTGTTGTGTGTGGCCGCCTTTAGTGTTCATCGCATATTTTCACATGTCAAGATTTTAGATTTTATCTAAAAGGATAATAATAACTTCATCAATAATCATGCAACTTAGTCAACAGAAAAAATAATAATCATTGCCACCTAAAAAAATGATAAAACGAAGACAGCACTCACGGCCAAGATATGCTTCCCAAATTTTATATAGTTCTCCGAAATGTAGCTATTTTTTCTCTTTACGTTTTAATTTTAGATCCGCCACTGAAGAACCAAAGTGAGGTGGTTTGTACAGGACGCAGGGAAAATTGTTAAAATTGGGTGAAACAGATGGGACTCGTTGCAGGTTGCAGTATCTAGTTCGATTGTGCAATTTTAGATTTTTTGTTAACTGCTTTGTTGCATTGCAATACCATCGATGTAAATCTGCTTACACATAATCCTTTTCCGTACTACATTGTAGTGTCTATTTCATAGGAATTAGCTACTCCGTTTTTATGCTGAAAAGGGAACGTAATGTCATGTTGTCACGATTTAAACTACACATTGCTGATATAAAAGAAAAACATTTATTCATTCATAACCACTTGAATTATACAAATATGGCAAAAATAATGCAATTATCCAATCACCAAAGCCACGTTTTCAAAATAGCGACTTATGGTACATCTTCAAGTATAACAATCATACCTATATTTTTAAATACAATCGAATACATTAACATTATAATCTATAGTGTCTTTAATACTTTATTTTATTGTTAATGTTTCATCTTCATAAAATTCTCATTATTGCAAGTGGAAAAGAGTATTTAAAATATATTTCTCGCTTTCATCATATAAAAAATTGCAGATACATATATATAAATGCCTGATTTGTTTCGAACCCATGAAACGTAGATAAAATTAGGAAAAAGGATAATAAACTACCAATATAATTCGGTGTTAACCTTAACATTGAAAATCATCTCAAGAATCATTTCAGACTTTAGAACGCACGCAAAAATTCACAATTAGGGAAATAAAAACCAGTCTTAATTAAGATTTGTGAAGATTTGACCCAGTGATCCTTGAGATGATTACGTAATACTTTTACTAAGATATGATTACAATATTATGAGATACGAAGACCTAATCGTAGAATTAGGCGTGAGACAATTATTAACTTTTAACATACAAAGAAATAAAATTATGAACTCAATTCGTCAACACTTTCTGTTTCTGAAGGCCTCGAATCGTGTTCTGACGTTCCATTTTGTCGATCTTCTGATATGCTTCTTGTACTTTCTCTTCGTGTTTTCCTGAGCAACGCATCACAGCTGCCTTTTGGGACGAACGTGGTCCATTCGTTTGACTTCGAGTCCAGGTATTCTATAGTATTGAGGAATGTTTTACCTAGAAATAAAACGTACATGCAATCATTCGGCTGGCGTCTAATAATTGTAAATGACACCCACTCCACTGAAGCGGAGCTGGTACAATTTGTCAAAATGAACAAAATAATATTACCTGAGAACCCTCCTACCGCGTACAGTCTATCACCGACGACGGCAACCTCCACGTTCGCCCTGGGCGTGGTCATGCTAGGTCCCACAACCCAACTCTGCGTCTTTTCGTCAAAAATCTCCGTCGAATTCAACGAATGCGATCCGTCCGAACCGCCCACCACATACAGTTTTCCGTCGAACACAGCCACTCCGCACCCTCGCCGAGCCGTAATGATCGGCTTAATCGAAGTCCAGAGGTTCTCCTCAGGATTGTAAACCTCCACGGAGTTTAGGCAATTCCAGGCGTCGCAGCCGCCGATCGCATAGACTAGTTTGTTGTAGGCGGTGACTCCAGCCTGGTACCGCCCTAGAATGCAAACAGACCAATCAGGTTTTGACGCGACATTTTCACCACCCACCTGTGTTCAAGGACGCGATAGCACTCCATTCCGAAGCGACCGGGTCGAAGACGTCGCATTGCTTGATGCCGACCTGCCCGTTCCATCCTCCAATGCAGTAAATCAAGCCCTCGAGGTGGCACACGCCCATGTTACTTCTGGCCAATGGCATTTTGGGCATTTTGACCCATTTGTCTAGCGACAGGTCCAGCATTTCCACGGAATCCAGCTCAGTAGTGCCGTTGCTGCCGCCAATGGCGTACACCTTGTCGCTCAAGATGGCGACTTTGAAGCGCCCCCTGTTTTCGCGCATGGAAGGAAGGGGTTTCCAAATATTGGTTTCAGGAATGTACTGTTCCACGGAGCGAAGACATTCAGTTCGGTCGTAGCCACCTGGAACAAAGACAAAAATAAGGTTAGGTTGCGAGTTAATACACTATTTTCAACGCGCGGAATAATATCTCAGACGCTCAATCCAGTGCTGCCGCGTCGATACTTTGATTAGAAATATATTTTTCTTTTAGACTATATCAATATAATATAACATTTCAAGTTCACAAATCTGTGGTCCTGTGGTTGAAAAAATATTAATAAGAACACCGAGTATTATTATTTGAAGTAATATAGAAGTAGTTTTTTTACTAGCTGTACACACTCCTAGAGACGCACTGCCTACGACCTTGTGGACCAGATCAAAGTGTCCCCGCTACTCGCCGTAAAATACACCTTACTTCAACTGGAGGATTGCAGCCGTAAGATATAATTCCGCGCACTGACTATTTTACACTACTCAAAAAAAAAACCTTAATACGTACCACATACTATCAGAGTGTTCAAAAAGTTGCCACAACCGACAGCACATCGAGGGGTCGACATGTTGCCCAGCGCGCAATAGAGATCCGGCTTCTCCTCACTTGCAGGCCTACTCGAGTCAGGAGTTTGAACCGGCGAAGGAGTTGACGGAGTGTTCAATCTAAATCAAAACCATTTCAAAATTTTATTATTATTATTATTATTATTAAAAGTTGGCTAAACCACTTTGGTCCAATTATAACCCTAATTAATAATTTGTGCAACAAAATGGAGTACGTCGGCATGCTCGGCACCGTCCTTGAAATATAGGACGAAAAAACGCATCTCACCTTAGCTGTATGGAGAGTGTCGACAACTTTCCCCTGAGCGTAACCAGCGCCAAGAAGTTGTGCTCCCCCACCTTCTCCGAAGCGATCAAATTCCAATCCGGCTCCAGCTCGAACTCGAGCTCCTCCCCAATCTCCCTGTTGTAAATGAGCACCCTCGGTTTCGACGGCTGGCTCAGAAACTTCCTTTTGTTTTTGGGGTTGCTGTTGTTGTTCTTCAGGGACATCTTCTTGTAGTCTTGGACGATCTCGGTGTCGCTTATATCGCCGGTGGGTAGGCTCGAGCAGTCCTGGAGCGAGTTGTCTATGGCCAGATAGAGCATGAATGTTTTGTCTGAGAGCATTTCCACGCTGATGGAGTCTTCGGTGACTTGGCGCTTGATCCACTCGAGGACCAGCCGACAGAGGGAGTTCTGGTTGACGAGGGTCATTTCTTCGCGGGATTGGTTGAGGACCTCAATTTTGACGCAGTGGAGGTTGAGGACGTCGTTGTTTTTGCAGATTTTGTCGAACTGGGAGAAAATTTGTTACTAATACTAATGGTAAAATGTGGAAAGGACTTACTTCTTTACCGATGAAACCATCGACTTGTTGGATGAACTCTTTGTTTCTGGCTATGCCGGGCAGGGAACGGACTTCAATGCAGTTTTCGATGGAGAGGTGTTTGATCAAGTGTTGGGCGCATGTCCGAGTCACTCGATCCATTTTGAGGTGGTTTGCAGCAAGGAAGACAGCCTTCACCTGCGATTATGAAGAAGTTTGTTACAGTAGCTTATTACTAACATTTAAAAATTTTATTATTACTGTCGTTTAAAAGCAATTATTAATTACCTAAATTCATGAGAGCCTTATTTAACAAAAAAGATCTATGCAACAGCACCACTTCTATCACGTTACTCAAGTGTGGTCGTTTAAAAAAATTATCACACTATGTTATACGTACAGTGTTTCAGTGGTCCAATGTTAGAAGATTAATCAAAGGCAACATAACTGTTACTCAGAAACACAGCATTTCATTTTTGCTTTTTGTTACATTTATACAAACATCCAAAACTGGACAATTTTAAGTTGTACATGTAAACGGTCATTACACCCTGTACATCGCTCAGTGATAAAGTTTTAAATTTAATTTATCTTCCAGTTAACTATAATAGATAACTTGGACCGTCAAATGTGATACATTTTTATCGAAACGTTTTTTCACATATCGTTTGTGAAAGAAAATATCTTACTGGTTGTGTTGACAATTAATCAGTGTTTAGTTAACAAAAGCTTTGGGAAAAACTTTTAAATCGAAACTACCGTTTTTCTCTTGAAGATGTCCAGTCAATCGAGAGGCAAAGACTTGTTGAGGATGATTGCGCCCTTCATTAGCATCAAAGTAATTACTTTAAGAGTTTCGATTTCGACTTAATTCAATCAAGCTTGTAGCTTTCGCAATTAAGTCACACAACAATGGGAATCGATAAAGTTGATGAGACTGGCTACGTAAATGCCGCAGAACGTTATTAAATTTCCTTCAGACTATTGTATCGTTATTAGAGCAAAGTTAAATTGTGTTTCAGGGTTGTTTAAACGGCTACATCAGCTCTATTAAAAAAAAAAAACACTAATGCAATTAAACTTTGTAAATAAATGTATGTGTTTTTCCGTTATTAATTTATTAAACTGGCGACGAAAGCTTTTACTGGGAGTATCAAATTCAAGCTACTGCGGAAAAAAATAAAAACATAAAAGTGATTTTCTCACTACATAGAATAATCGTTCTGAAGATTCCATTTTTACGTTTGCTTAAATATATTTTTCATTCAATGCAATTCTGGTCTATAAAATTAGAAAATAGGAGTCGAAAATTCATTTAAAACATTCAGTTGGAGAGTCCGCATTCTAAATAAAGGGTTATTCGGAAAAAATAAGCTTCTAATATTTTCTAGAGAGCAGCTTTGACTTCTGTTGCTAACTTCACCGATAAATATGTATTTATCGTGTTTGATGTGTTATTTTATCATCATTTTGTATATTGTGGACACACATAGATACACTATACGTTTAAAAATTCAAGGAGACTTGATATCATTCAAGGTTTTGTTAATCAAATGTAAGTCCGTCCGAATCTCCGTAGCACCTATTTTTTAAGTGGGTTTCTTAATTTTGTTTTGAAAGAGTTTTAAAACCTTTTAATTCTTATTAGTAATCATAAAAACAAAACTGAAGGTTTCCAAGTATAGAATACTTTTTCTTTCAAAATGCGTTAGAATATTTTTTATTTCATGACATTATTTTTTTTAATCGTCTTTTTACTTGAATTATTTTTTCCATTTATCAACGATAACACTTGTTTTTGTCTCCAGAAATAGGAAAAACAAGTTTTGAATGTTTTCCAAGTGCGTTAATATTTTCAGGTTTTAGTAACAAATTTAGTACCTATTTCTGATTGGATCATTGTAATCTAACTGCACAATTTTGATAAGTGACAAAATTATTGTTCAATTATCGATGTCCTTGAGCTGTAGCTACTAACAATAATACAACTGTGTACCCATATATATTATAAAATGGTAATAAAACATATTTCCGTGGAAATAACGAACAGAAAACTAAAATGTATTTTCCACTAATTAAGCCGTCCTTATCTATTACCGTAGCGACAATATAATGTCGCCAACGCTTTTTTACTGGCACCATAGGACAATTTTAGAACTTGCATGATTTTTACAAACATATCGTCCACATTACGAGTCGACCATCAAATCCTGTTTTTTTTTACTTTTAAAATACCTTAAAGTAGGAAGCCTATTAAATTTTATGGTTATGCATCCAAAAACCAATATTAATATGGTTATGAAACCAAGTCCAAATGTAAATTTTAAATTGAAGAACTACTAAAAATTATTCAAATAAAGAATCAACACTGCTAACGTAATTTCAAGAATCAAATTATATTTCGGTGGTAAACTGTCAGGATATACGTTTTTGCTCTCCAGTTAAGCAGTGAACGCCAAATGGTTCAATTAAAAAATTCTTGATGACGTCACACTGCCGCTTAGTAACGAATTTAGATGTTCCAATTAGAGGAAAATTAAGTTCTATTTTCTACACATAAAACCCAATATGCATGTATTTTTGTGGAGTATTAAATGGCAGCAAGAAACGTTCATAGAAGTTGATCTTTCATCAAACAATAACGACTCAGTTTAGAAATTTGCTGGAAGTATACTGTACGCAGAACCCGTAACTCGTTGACAAAACAATGGTGTTTTAACTATAATATAATGTCGTACAAACAATCAAATTTCCGCTTTTCTGCATATCTTACTTGCTTTTGAACTTTACTAATTTAGCAATTAAAATGTTTGCACAATAAAAATTGATGATAGTATGATTTTAATAATTAAATAAAATCTTAGTTTTTAAAACAAATCTATGACCAATCCATAACATAAGAATCACTCGCAAATTTTGTGCAAAAAGTACTGGGTATACATAAATTCACGTTTCTATGTGGGCTTTGAAATATGATTAAATTTAGACACTTCAGTGAGATAGTGTGCACGCCAATTATTCAAAATGACGTGTGAATAGTGCGCATGCCTAAGGCTCGCAAACGCCGAAATCATTTCTACGTTGGCAATTAACATAACTTAATCTAGAAAATCAGCTAATTTGTTCGAAATTTACCTGCTTTAGTCTTTGTATTCCTCAATTTGTGCATTTTATGCCGGAATCGTTAAATTTAAATGTGTAACATCTATTCACAAGCGTATTAAATTAATTTTAATCTATGGAAACGCTGGAATTCAAAGTTTAAAATTGACAAATGGGTTTCAGTGCAGAGCAAGATACTTTTATTATGATATTATGGTCAATCTTTGAAGTTGGAAAATGACAATATTCAGTTTTTGTCTGCAATACTGTATTTCTAGTCAGTTTCGTGAATTTCGAGGCAACGACTTCTCTTCAAAGAAGCATATTAGTGACAAATATTACTTGCCCAGCTTGTTCACTAGATGTCACTTCTCTCGACTTCTCTATATTTGATATTTGAAGAGCTCAGTTTTTGAGCACAGAATGGATAGAATGTGGATGAATTAAAAGAAATTAATTAATGGAGAAATACTTCAGAATATTTTGAAAATAAAGAGAATAGAATTAGAATGTATTTTTAGCAAAATAGAAGGCATTTTCAGATAAAAGTCGTTCAAGATCGGAAGACGTTGAAATCAAAGACGACTTTGATAACATATTTGATTCAATTAAATTTTGAAAAAATGAACATATATTACAAGTGCTAGCAATGATAAGTTTAATGCTTCATACACGGTAAAACATATCTTACCACGAAGTACTAAATGGTACTTAAGTAAAGTCATTCGTTTTAAGTAACATTGAATACTGTGGTAATTGGTATATGTATTTTAATTTTTTAGCTAGACAATTAAAGCAAAGGTCAAGAATAATTGTCAAAATGACAAAGTGTTATTTTATATGCTGGTAACTTTAACAATTTACAGATTTATTGCGAGAGAAATTTAAGTTATGAAAAACTGTAAAAACCTTAACCCGGTCTATAGATGAAACGGAACGGTTTGGTGACTATGAAACGAATCATTTATTTGTTTTTTAATTACGACCACTCCCCTTTCTCATTACTGTCGTAGAAGTAGAATTGACTTAATGAACGTCCAGTCTCCACCTGTGCATGATTTAAAACCCACCACACACTGTATCCATTTCATTGACCCACACCGTCCCAACCCACTTAATTGCTTCTACTTTCTCACTCATTACCGACTCCCTCTTACCTACCTGATTATATTTAACGTCCAACTTGCCCGTGTACGCATAGTCGACCAAAATCTTCAATGCGTCCTTATCGAACCCTCCGTTCAGCTTAAAAGTGACGACGTTCTCGAGCCTATTCTGCTGGTCGTTGGCGAAGTGCTCCGACAGATAAGGCGAAGCACTCGCCAAAACAGCTCGATGCGCATGAATCTCGGTATTTCCAACCTAGATCAGAAAAAAAAAGCACACTGGTGAAACAAGTGCAATGACTCCGTCTCATACTCGACAATAAAACCAAAAAAATATATAAATAAAAAAATCAGATAAATAAAATAGAAATTACCGTCACCCATTCTCTACCGTTCTGTAAAAACAGAAAACATTAAAACGTTCTTCGATTAAAGAACGACAAAAAGAAAAAATGATGCAAATGCAAAATTTTTACCTAATTTCGGTCTAAAATACGTTCGATTCTGTAAGAGAACGTTTGGATCGCAAAACGGACTAACATCTACTTAGTATGTGGAAAGACTTAAAATCTACTCACTACTGGTCAATTAAATTCAATTATGACGAGAGGAGAGCACCCAGTAGTGTAACTGACCGTAAACAGCACCGATTTTACTTCGGCTCCGGTCGATCGCGTATCATGCTTCCAAAAAGGGTGCGAATTTGGCGAAAAACGGACGCGATTGACCGGGGCCGCGTAAAACGTCATGTTCTACAGTCAGTGCACATACGTGAAGAATGACGTCACAGAAGTGACGGTTTTTTCGCATCGTGTTGAGGGAGGTCAACATCTGTGCCTTGTGGGTGTCGTCGCTGAACTCCAGTTGGAATTCGGACTCGTCCTCGGGGTGGCTCTTGCGCATTTCCCCGGGGATGGAATGGCCTGCAACAAAATTAAACGTCCTTAACAAATCGGGTCGAAGTACATTTGTATGAAAATGTGACACACACACACACCTTTGTCGAAAAGAATTAAAATTTATTCTAGTTTTGGTGCGTCATTGTTCTTGAATTTTTCTGTCAAATTTTACAGCGTTCTGTTGAACTCTCATATGGGATCGCCCAATTATTGTAAACAGGTTTGAATGCCTGATAAATATATCCAATTCGGTGCTGTCAAATCTATATCACTTAATCTAATTATTACAGTAATTTATAGGCCTCCTCACGGTGACTTTTTTTATATTTCTCACTGTTCTGCATCAGTTCTTTAATTTAGTAGGTGATGTTATATAATGGTATATATAATTATTACAGAAAATTTTACACAATTTTACTCACACCGTAAGTCAGTACACACACTCAAGCACTTGTTTAAACAATTTCTTAATTAACGTAGTCGATGAAATTATCAAAGTTATGTAAAATTACAATATATGAGATCTTACTAGTATACATTAGAAATGCATAGTTGTATTTTGATTTTTTAAAATCTTCAAAAAACCAAATGTGGAACTTTTCAATTTAATACAATGATGTTGAATCTACTGATTGATTATTCATATATGATTTTAATCTCTATTAACCCTATATACTGACATTAAAAAAAAAGTCTCCAAGGTCTTCGGCTTTGATATTAAAATAATTAAACCCATTTAAAATATAAGTATTTGTCCGTTAATGCAGCTATATACATATATATTCAGACACCTTGAAGAAATCTAAGTTATCTATCTACTAAACTCAAAAAGTTAGATAATACGCTTACAATAAGTAGAACATTTGTAAACGCACTCCATTCGTACTTATGCCACCAGTTTGAGCTGTCTCTATACATATTTCTATGAAGAAACTAGATAATGCAATGAAGTTATTTCATTTTAAACTAGGAGATGCCAATGCTAAAATATGAAAGTACTTATGTAATTATCTTTCTCTAAATATAAGCGCGGCTTAGGGATTTGTTTTAGGGCCCTTGCTGTTTTTCATTTATACAAATGATATCAAATACACCACTTTAAACGGTAAAGTAATAATAATGTGCAAAATAAGCTTTGGGAACGATTGCAAACATTGTTTCAAAATTTTGTCTATACACACACTTCCCAGTTTTTATATTTTAGTTTCCCTGATTTGTATCATATCTTATATATTGCATTTTACTCTTCGCGAAGAGACTCAGACTCAGACCGAAGTCTAAGACAACATAAATTTTCACAGAACTTACTGAAGTCGCTGTAGCGTCAATTACTGGGGTCTCAAATGTTACAATAAATTTTCATTACATATTAATAAAAACTTTGGAAATAAATTCGTTAAAAAAAAGTTATTAGTTTTCTGGAATTCTTATCTGATGAATCTGTTATATTCTGACGTGTGTAAACGTATTGAAAATATGTATTAACACAAATAAAATTTGTTATTATTATTATCACAATAGTGTAGATGGTTCAGTGAAGGATATTTATTTTATTTACTGTCAGTTATAACTCATTCAATTTGCTATCCTCCATTTTTCTTAAAACATCGCAATTTTTTTAAACATGCGAGGCAAGACTTCGGGTTTCCATTTGGTTCAATATTTTTTCTATCGAAAACTAATATTTTTGAACAGACTTTTTTCTGTGTACTTTTCAGCTTTGAGGAAAGCTCCAGGAATAAAAAAGGTGTCGGTTTAGTCAGGTTTAGTGGTGGCGTCGTCAAGGTCGGACGGCTTGCATGGGATCGATTGGGTCCGATGACCTACCGCAGAAGTGGGATGAGGTGGCGAGGTCTTGCATAATACAGTCGGTGACGGCTGAGATGAATGACCACGATAAGATCAGGCGTTTGATTATTATTACTTGAGGTGATCACAAGCGACGCTATTTCGAGACAGATTTGATTTGACTTTTTTAAGAGTAATTTTTTGGGTTGAATTTTGAAACTGTGATGAGTGAGGTAATATAAAACTGTTTAAACAGTGATATTATTATTTTTTAGTAATAATTTGCTGATCGAATTGGGAAACGATTTCATGAATCGATAATAAACCTTTATTACTCTTATCTCTAAATAAATATTCGAGTAATGGGGATCGAAGTACCACCAACTCAAATTTGGTATCTTGATCAACCTAATTTGTACATGTATGAGCGCATGATAAAGGCATGACCACGTGTTAGACGTCGCGAGAGCATAAATACTTTTTTATTTTTTAAGTTGCCCATTATAAATGTGTTCCAATTTGCAAATCGACATACTTAACACAGTTCATTCTCTTTGATTGTATCTGTTAACGCATAACGCATACACGTGCTTGGGCATACGTCATACTTCTGAGTCATAGTATTAGGGGGATTCGTAGGATAATTAAAATTTTAACTACACGAGGGTCAGTTTTGAATTACAAGATAAATATAAAATTGTGATGTCATCGTTATTATTTTTAAAAAAGGGGATATTTTATAGAACCGGGCCTAAAAGAGAATAAAAACTTCCTTGAAAAGTTGGGTATAACTACTTTGAATGAGGATGTTACAGAGGTTGTTCACAAATAATGAACATGAAAATGGACGCAATTGTGTTTCAAGGGCGTGAGGGGATCCATCTAAAAATTCTAGATACATGCTTAAATTTAAGGGAGGTTATAAGAGTGTGAAAAATTGTTTGGTGTTGCATGCTTTATTGGGCATGAAATATACAAGTGTTCAGCAAAATTTGTCCTCAGTACATTAGATACTTGCATTACCAAGATGTTTTTAATGAACACTTCTCCTTAGTTACATTTCGGTAATAGATACATATGTAATTCACCGCAAGCACACGACTGGTGCTAAATAGAATCTAATCTCCATAATTTGCTTTTGATAAATTTACTTTATTCTTCTTTTTCAATGACTGGTGATTTTGTAAATTCTCAAAGTTCAACATCCAATAATCTTAATTTTTGGTTTTAGACATCGTCAGTTCTTCAGTGCAACTATGGTTCACACGGAAAACATACCGCGTATTTTATTAAAAATTTTCACATGTCAAAGCTATTTTCGTTGTTTCCGGTGTTTGCTTTGGAATAACTTTTTTTTAATAAGTAAAAAAATACAGAAGGATCTAAAGACAAATCTTTTGCACAAAACGCGTAAAAAACAAGAAGGAATTGAAGAAAAGAAACAAAAACTACCGAAGTCCAAGTTCCATGAAAATGTCATACAAAACTCAAAAAATCTATCAGAAAATTTTGAGTTTTATTCTGGAAAGTAACATTTTAAAGAATATTGTTTGATAAAAACTGAAGCAGAAAACTTGGATAGTGAATGAGAAACCAGCACATATTTAGTTTATGGGGGGAAAAAAACTCGACTAAAACTATTTTTTGATAATGATAATGACGATAAAATTAATTATCATTTTCAAATACAATCAAATGAAGAATTGTTGGAAGTAAACGTATTCTTTAAAATAACAATTATTTCTGTATAACACAAGTTACCTTCATTTTCTATTACGAGTATTTCAAGTGAAAATGAAATTATCACAAGTAGAAACATTTCAAATAATACATCAACTTTTGCGCATTCAAAAGCAAGTAAAAACCATTTTGAGATAATAAAAACGTATTGTTTTTATCCTGATACTTCAAATCTATTCTAAGTACTTCGATATTATTGTATTTTGCTTTTGTTAAGTTATGTTTTTTAAATGCATGTCCAAAGTGCAATTGCACTCCCTAACTTTATAAATATTTGCTTTCACTATTTTGCGCTTCACTTAGAGCCCGGAGTTACACTGTAGAATAATCTTAGCTGTTGAATCAAGTTGGGCAGTTTAAATTAAACCTTTTTCGAAGAAAGAGTATTTGGTTGCCTACCCCTATATTTACAAAAATGTAATATAGTGAACCAAGAGGTATAAGGTTATATGGCCATCATAAAATTAGTTGACCGCAAATAAATACCCCCTTTGTGTGGTTCGCACTAAGCTTACCGGTTGGCAATAAATCATCTTCTAAACATTTCTTGCTCATATTTAACAGGGCCGGCTTTCAAAGCGAGTGGTTATTTCGGAACCCTCAGCGGCTGCAGGTAGCAAAGAAATAGTGGAGTGGTGGATTTTCATATTTAGTGAAAGCCGCCCCTGAACGAAACCGCAAGAGCCGGTCGAGCTGTAGTGGACTCGTTATTTACGACCCTAAAACCTTTTCTATTGTAAACAACTTAACTTCGACACAATGGGATGATTTTATGATGGCCATATAACCTTATAGCTCTTGGTTCACTATACTTCAATTTTCCTTTAATCAACAATAATTAAAAAGTGGCCAATTTTACAAAAATAAAAAAATTATCTCCTTGAAGTCGATAACATTCTCTACAATATCGGCTGTCAAAAGCTTCAAAATAAAAATAATTGTTGTAAACCTTTTGTATTACCAATAAGTAAATAATATACCACGTGTTACTGTAGCAATGAAATCTTTAAACGCGTGCAGGATTGACCCGATTTAAATCAAGTGATTTTTTTTTTAATAAATTCACTAGAATAAAATGTTTCCAACAAAATAAAAGGCCAACTTTCCCGTTTCCGTTTGTTTGTCTATTCACTATCACCTCTCGTCTGTGTCGATTTTATTAGGCTGACAATCTCCGAAACTATTGGACTAATTTTTTTCAAGTTTTCTTTGTATTTTAATTTCGATGACGTCGCCTAAAAATTTCGAACTTGTGGTAAACTTTATAAACATACAACACTATTACTATTGAGAAATATATATTGGCACGTCAGAATAGGTCTTTTGCACGGCAAGAAATCACACATAAAACAATAAATAAAATATTTCAGAACGCCAGAAAATGAGAATGCACGACAGATTAAGCCAAGTGCGACAGAAAAATTTTCTGTTGCTACTGCGCTTGCGTACAAAATTTTCAACTGTGAACTGTTTACAGTGCAACTTAACCTAACAAA